ATGATAGTAATTAGTATTGACATGACTGACCTAATTCATAATCTATGCCGGTTCCATCATCTCAAACTAAATGTTGCAAATCGCCAACGGCAAATCCAGAAATTGAGCCATTTTTCAAATTATTTCAGCTAGTTGGTCCAACTTTATATATTTGGGTATAATATCCGTTTAAGTGGATAGAAATCGATGTACTAATTATCAGTAGTACCTATACTATCTTCCTCACGCCTGCTGTCAGTACCAAGACCCGTGTGGATGTTTTGCGGTTTCATTTCCATTCGTGTGCACAGAAATGCTTTAAAATTGGGCTTGAATAATTCAGTGAACAGCGAATTTATGATTTCAGAGCATTGAAACATTCGTAAATTTTACGGAATTGTTCAATTCTTGAAAAATGTTTGGTGTTAAAAGTAAAGACGTGTGGTCGCCGATAGGAAATTTCCATTCGATTTTATATTTATATCCTGTCACATGGTTATAAAAGCGCGCGAATGTGAGTCACGTGATGTAAACACAGTCAACCCAGCAAAGCCAAAAGGCGTGAAAAAAATGGAATTAACTATCCTTATTTATTTTCAGGCAAGTCCTTTATTCATATAACATAACGCTTACTTCATAAATAAACATCGGAGTTGCCTTTCGACGTAATTTACCGCGAATATGAGTCTAAGGAACATGGAATACATTTTAGTTTTGGTGTTGAAATGACGTCATAACAAGGCTAAACTACGCGATTTATTTTTGACAAAATTTCTCATTGTATACCATTTTCAATTGCTTGGCGGGCGCACTTGCCATGCTCCGATTTTGTTGATTTTAATAGCATCAAAACGACAATAAAACGAACTTTCAATCGGTCGGGCGTGCTATATTGACAAATCGCCTAAAAAAAAGATTGCGTGAATTGAAGCGTTCAACTTGCAAAAAATGCATGGTATTTCGAAATGCCAACAAAGCACCCCCGACCAATTGAAAGATCGTTCATTTATCTTTCTAATGATATTAGAATGAAAAAATAATATTAATAATAAGTGCGCCCGCCGAGTACTTGAAGTGGGGTACCCTCGTTTAAAAACGTGACAAAATTTTTCAGCGTAACGTCAAAACACGGGAAATTAACGTTTTTCAACTTACGTTTATGAAATTAATAAAATGAACACATATATAAAAATTATATCAAACAAAAGAACAGGATATCGGCTTCCAAAATATTTTAAAATTATTACAAAATATTAAATAGCCACCGTATGACGTTAAGTTGAAAAAGGGTTACAAATCAGGAAAAAATGACTTTCTTCCAACGCAGGCAATGGAGCTGTGACACCTACTTTAATAACACTTAAAAATCAAATATCCCCTACTTTTTTTGAATAGTATATATGGCTAATTCCTATGTGCTGTAGGCCAACATTAAGGAGATTGAAATGCAGACATGATTTTAGCAGTTGGAAAAAAATGCTGAAAAAAAAAAATTGGGGGTCGGAAGTGGGCGTGTCCAAGGGCAACGCCTGTGTGTTATGGGGGCCAATGGCGATTTTAAGGTAGTGGGGGTGGGGGTGGGGGTCTGATAATGAATTTTAAAATTCTCATATTTGTCTACTAATTTACTACAAATTTGAGCTTAACTTATATTTAATTTATTTCTTTTCCATTTACAGAACTACGGATTCGATCTTTTGATTGTCCCTGTATAATTTTCTAGACTAGAATGTGTTGCGCTAACTCTAAACTTCCCCACCCCCCTCCCTCCGATCGTAATTAATATACTGAGCGCCATTGAAAACGCATCACTTAGTTTTTCCTATAACAAAATGATCCTGTAAACATATCTATAATCTTATTTATTTTGCTTCTTATTGTGAACAATATTCAAATGGGAACACATCAATAACAACACATTTGTACACTTATGGATGTTTAATCTGTAATCAAGGGTACAAAGTCAAAGGGGTCAAAACCAAAAGTACGACACAGATGTCAGTGGCGCGTGTGTCCTCCACGGGCCATCATCACGGTAGGCTACAGCATCAACGCGACCCCTGCAAATGTGTAGGGCGGTCCGGTGATGAAATGTGAAGCCTCCCCACACCATTACAGTAATTACACTTCCCCCACCCCATCGATCCGTTTCGAAGACGCAGCAGTCTGCAAGACGTTCCCCAAGACGTCTCCACACACGTTGACGGCCATCTGCGTGATAAAGATGAAAGTGACTCTCATCACTGAAGAGCACACTTTGCCAGTCTACTCTTCTCCATGTCTGGTGTCCTTAAGCCCTTATCAAACGCCGCTGTCGGTGATGATCCCTGAGGATAGCTCCAACATAAGGTTGTCGTGCACTGAGTCCTACTTCTTTTAGAAGACGTCTTACGGTGTTGGCACTTACTGGTCCTTGTCTTCCGACGACTGCTGCACCTGTTCGAGTCGCTGGGCGGAATCTGTCACGCAGATGAGTGACCCGGATGTAGCGGTCTTGAGCCTGGGTTGTAACGCGTTGTGGACCAGGATGTTGACGGTCACATGTTGATCCAGTAACTCGAACACGTTCCACCAACCTTACAATAGTGGACTGATGACAATTGAAGTGTCTGGCAATAGCACGTGTAGACATGCCAGCCCTGGACATTTCCATGGCTTCATTCCGTGGATTGTCAGTAAGTCTCAGCATCTCTAGCTCGATTCCTTCACACGTCCAACAACATATTACGACAGATTGACGTTTCACAGTTGATGTACTGCACATTAAGTTGAAAACATGCTTTTAAAGGGCTCACACACAATGCTGCACGTGAATATTGGGTTTTTCATGTGCATCTTGTGCAATTTTTTTTTTTGCACACAGGCCGATATTTTTTGTGTTTGGGAGCATTGTGTGAAACAGTAGTTCATAGTATTGCATATTGATGCGTTTTCCATGGTGCTCAGTATATTAATAATTCACGAATCTTCGGACATTGACTTTACGAATAGAACATCTCACAAGCTCGCCTCCCACTATTTCCACTTCCATACATTTTATGGAATACATGTAGTTTGGTGTCGACGTCTCGATCTACGACCTTAGCCATAGCGTGAAATAACTGACAACGATAACCTATCATCATAGATATGGTATGAATACTACGATAGAGAAACTCTATGTTACTTGTACACAGTGACAGGTGCTCTCGTTCAATCTAGTGTGAGTTTATGATACCGTACTGTTAATATTTAACAGCAGAAATCCGCTTTAAAGCGGGAAATAATCATGTCTGGAAATGTCCGAGAATGGAGAAATCATGGGTTAATCACATAGATTAAATTTATCATCACTCTTATTGGATTGATATATAGTCCTACAAAGGAGAAGCAATGTTTTCTGTTCAGGATTCAGGGCTTGAAATTCGTCATTTTTTGCGAGAATCTAAGAGGATTCTCATATATGGAATCTGCGCGAATCCTCCGAATCTTAATTAATAATACTGTCAAAAAAACAAAATTGTGTTTATTGTGATAATCTAAAACACCAAAATACAACAACAATGATAAAAAGCCCAATCAGATGGAGTTTTTGGTAAACACTTAAATTGTGTCAAAAGTAATATTCAGAAAATGCCATAGTCAAAATAAGCTGATACAGCACCATGACATTTCTTTATAGCACAATTTGTAGTCGTTTGTCCATCACGTAACTTGCAAAAGTTTTTATTTATTCGTCAATGATAGACAAACTGCACAATGATCACGTGACAAAATAAACTTCGGTAGGACTATGATATAGCCTTCAATAATATTTTTAAAATTAAGTCTCTGTCAGCATGTATATAAAATAAAACATAACGGTAAACGCTCTTTAGAACTGGTTTATTGACCTAATTCCAACCAATATGTCACGTGTCATTGGAATTCGACATTCGAGATTCTGTTGGGAAAATATCCACAGTTTCTCTCTCCGTGTATTCGGTGTTCTATCAGGGGATTATATTCAATGCAAATTTAAATTTAACTAACAACTGGTCGGTGAATCCATCAATGTATGATCTAGTTATTATTTTAATACCTGGAATTCACACGGACGGAGCGTGGAAGATGCGCGATTTGCAAACCATGCCGAGATTGTCTTCATTCACCACATGCATATTTTACTGAACCTAGTATGAATTATCAGCAAGCTTGTTTTGTTTTTTTACCGGATTATCAAAATCACCGTTAAATGTGCTAATTACTCGGATTATGAACCACATATGGCCAATTCGCACTAAGGTATGACTTGTTGTAGCCGACACATCTTTATTAACAAGTTATAATTAACGCGTTGTAATATTAGACAAAAAAAGACAAGTAGATTCATTTATGATACCATGTGGCCGATTCATTGTTTTACCAATCTGCTAAATCCCACAATTAACCCTGACTGACATTCAACAGTTGGACTCGAGAATTCTCCGAGATTTTTTTTTTTTTTTCAGAAATTTTTTTTACGCGAATCCTTATAGATTTGCAGCGTAAGCTCTTGCGAGAATCCTTGCGCGAATCAGATTCAGAGATTCGCGTGAACTTCTAGCCCTGGGATTGGATTGATGGATTGTCCGACAACGGATCAAGTCGGCCTATCAAGGCAGATTAAGTAGTTAATCAAGGTAGGTATATAGACGGTATAACACGATAAATATGTCAATCACTTAATTACCTAATCAATCCAGCCTATTATCAACGATAATCGGGTTGAGTGGTAGGTTATACAGTCAGTACAATATATTAATTTTGGAATTTTGAATATTATTCACCATGTCTTAATGTCCGATTTGGGCATATTCCTGGGTAGACAATTTAAGACGTTTGGAAAATAGTGTCAGACATGTCCGGAATATACAGGAGAAATCCTAGGTCCAAAAATTGAGGTCTTGCATACACATAAAAGAGCCCTTGACAGATAGTGGTATAGTGTATACCCGTCTTCATTAGCCAGGTTGGTGCAGAAAAGCAGGACGTTAAATCCCATTTAATTTCTTTTTGATTACCTGTTAGCTAATTCAACATGAGCTTGTTTAGCTGAGTATTCATCGTCTGTTTTAGTGAGTTCTTTAGTTATAACCAACTGTGATATATCAACCCGATTACACAGTAGATCTGATATAGTTTCTTTAGCATGTGCAACAGCACCATCAGGATTTCTACAATATAAATATCATATTTAAAGATAGGTTGCGACAACGAAAAATACGCCCACAGCAGCTAAATCGTCCGGGCAGTCAACAAGAGCTGTCACATATTTTTACTTTTTTCGGTAATGAAACATTTATAATACACTAAAATCTGATTAAGAGCAACAACTCAGAAAACCATTAGAATTTGTTTGGATTTTATAAAGTTCTGCCCCATGCTAACGTTTTTTATACAAAACTTTTAATATCATGGATTTAGCTGTTCCAAGTCATAAAAATTCATTGAAAATCAATAAACTTGTTCCTCTAAAGATCTTAAACTCTGTGTATCAATCTGAAGTCAATCGGATCATAACTTTAGCCTTTAGAGCGTCACAAGATTTTGCAAAGTGATCAAGAGCCATAAGTTTGGCAGTAATTATCGGAAATCGTTGAAAATCAATAGGATTCTCCGTCTCATGATCATATACACTGTGTATAAATTTAAGGTCAATCGAATTTAAGGGCTTCTTCGTCTCATGACCTTAAACACTGTGTATAAATTTAAAGTCAATCGGATATTAACTTTGACCTCTAGAGCGTCCACAAGATTTTTCAAAGTGATTAAGGGCCATAACTCTGGCAGTAATTACCGGAAATCGCTGAAAAACTGTAGGCTTCTTTGTCTCATGACCTTAAACACTGTGTATAAATTTAAAGTCAATCGGATATTAACTTTGACCTCTAGAGCGTCCACAAGATCTTTTGAAGTGATCAAGGGCCATAACTCTGGCATTATCGTAAATTGCTGAAAATCAAAAGGCTTGTTCGTCTCATGACCTTAAACACTGTGTATAAATTTAAAGTCAATCGGATATTAACTTTGGCCTCTATAGAGTCCACAAGATTTTTCAAAGTGATCAAGGACCATAACTCTGGCAGTATTTATCGGAAATCACTGAAAATCAATAGGCTTCTTCGTCTTATGACCTTAAACACTGTGTATAAATCTAAAGTCAATCGGATATTAACTTTGGCCTCTAGAGCATCCACAAGATTTTTCAAAGTGATCAAGGGCCATAACTCTGGCATTAATTATCTGAAATTGCTAAAAATCAATAGGATTCTTCGTCTTATGACCTTAAACACTGTGTATGAATTTAAAGTCAATCGGATATTAACTTTGGCCTCTAGAGCGTCCACAAGATTTTTTGAAGTGATCAAGGGCCATAACTCTGGTAGTAATTATCGGAAATCGCTGAAAATCAATAGGCTTCTTTGTCTCATGACCTTAAACACTGCGTGTAAATTTAAGATCAATCAGATATTAACTTTGGCCTCTAGAGCGTCCACAAGATTTTTTGAAGTGATCAAGGGCCATAACTCTGGCAGTAATAATCGGGAGTCGTGGAAAATCAATAGACTTCTTCGTCTCAAGACCTTAAACACTGTGTATAAATTTAAAGTCAATCGGATATTAACTTTAGTCGGACAGACGGACGGACGGACAGGGGCGACGAAAATATACGACCACAAAACAGCAGTACAAAAACAGACCTTAGGTGTTGAAATGACCTTTTATCAAATGATTTGTTTTAAATAATCTTGTGGCGCCTTTTTATATACAATGACGTTGACATCACAGGATTCTTAAATTTATATTATGTACATTGAAAGATCATTAAATGCAAGACAACAGTGAGGCTGATGTCACCCAATGAAATCTCAAAACAAGCCAACAGTGAGGCTGATGTCCCGCGTCGAAATCCCAAAATAAATAGATGACACATATTCATTCATCGCACATTTATTTTTTCAAAGGTATCGAGCAATCAAACTGATTATCAACTATACACTAAGTTTTATCACTCTCTATCAGATAGAATCAAAGTTATCTTGTCCCAAGCAGTGGTTCTCAACCTTTTTTTGCCAACGGCACACCATGGAACACATGAAAAATTAAAGCACACCTGGCTAAATATATATGAAAAATATTAGAATTTTGCAAAATAAAAACATGGCAAGTTATAGACAGCATACAACCTTTAAACACAGATCATAGAACTCGGTCAAGACATTCACCTAATGAGAGAGAGAGAAATGGGGTTTAACGTCCACTCGACACAACTAGGTCATTTCGGGACTAACATATGGTTTAATTTTATTTCAATAATTCGCTTGCGCATAGGGGTCTTTAGCAGTGGGAGGAAACTGGAGGACCCGGAGACAACCCTTGAGGTTGGACAGGCGACCCTACTCCTTGTCACGTACAACTGGGGATTCGAAACACCTAATGAACATCTACATCAAGTTTACATAACTCTGGAAGTAATCTACAGAAATTGTTCAAATTTGACAGGCTTTTTACTAATTCAAATAATGCATATAAATTTCATACAGATCGAATGATAACTTTTGTCGCTCGAACGTTCACAAGGTCCAACAAAGTAAAACAAGGGCCATAACTCTAGAAGTAATTGACGGAAATTGCTAACATTCAATAGACTTATTTCACTAATTTAAATGATGCATATGAATTTCATACAGATTAGGTGATAACTTTTGTCGTTCAAGCGTTCACAAGATTCAACAAAGTGAAACAAGGGCCATTCCGATGTAATTAACGGAAATTTGCTGAAACTCAATAGGCTTGTTTGTCTTACTAATTTAAATGATACATATAAATTTCATACAGATCAGATAATAAATTTTGTCGTCAGAGCATTCACAAGGTACAGCAAAGGGAAACAAGGGCCATAACCCACAGCGTAATTAACGGAAATTGCTGAAATTCAATAGGCTTCTTCGTTGAACTAATTTAAATGATGCATATCAATTTCAAACAGATCGGATGATAACTGTTGTCATTAGAGCATTCACAAGATTCAACAAAGTGAAACAAGGGCCATAACTCTACATGTAATAAATGTAAATTGCTGAAATTCAATAGGTTTCTTTGTTTACTAATCTAAATGATGCATATAAATTTCATACAGATTAGATAATAACTTTTGTCGTTAGAGCATTCACAAGGTACAACAAAGTGAAACAAGGGCCATTCAAACAACAAAAATTCGACCTTGATCTCAGCTGTCCTGAAATGTATTAATTTCAGAAATAGGAGACGCATTGAACATAATACAGCCTATTGTGTTTATTTTCACGTCCGTTAAAGTTGATTTTTTATTGTTTTTCATATTCAATTCAAAATGGAGACCGAAATCAAAATTCTGCTCTAAACGTTTTTAGGCATTCCTTCAAGGATTCAGATAATTCAACTCCCATGTCTTGAGACAACTTTTTCTCGAAAACGACACCTACGATTTTTCTTAAACTATTGGTGGTCTATGGCGTGAATCCAAAAATAAAGACATTGAAATAATATAAGTGGTCCAAACAGAGCCTCAATCTTTGAAAAAAGTAGAAAAATCCTTAAATGACTGAAAATGCTCTTCTATTGAAAACAGCTCAATAGATGTTTCTGAAACTTTTGGTACAGAAAGTCAAGTATTCAAACTTGTTTAAACTATCCCGACAATGATCCAGAAACCAGAAGTAGTCGAAAAAATATCTGATATTTAGAGAAAAAAATGTAAAATGTAAAAAGTAAAACCAGCGGCTGCCAGGCAGGATACGCCAACATTTTCAAGAGATGGATAGAGAACAAGCTAAAAAGAAAGAGATTTTTCCTACAATCAAGGGCCATAATTCAGGAAATTACAATTCGATATAAGCAAATATGGAAAGGAACCGAGATCTTTGGGTTATAAACTTACATTTCAAGTTTCAAAAAAATCGGATAAAAATTGTGACCTCTATAGGGTCCACAACCTTGAAATACCATATTTTTACACTATTTATAAACGAGTGGCGGCCATTTTGTCAGTCAATTTTTGGCCGATTTTCACGAAATTCGAACTCAGCCGTCCATAGGGTGTAACAGTGATATAAAAATATGTTTTTTTAAATCGGATAAACATTATGACCTCTATAGGGTCCACAAGCTAAAAATGTGATTTTCGTACAATCAGGGGCCATAATTCAGGAAGTTACAGTCCGATATGCTCAAATATCGAAAGGAACCAAGATCTTTGGGTTATAAACTTACATTTCAAGTTTCAACAAAATCGGAAAAAAATTGTGACCTCTATAGGGTCCACAACCTTGATATATCATATTTTTACGCTATTTGAGAACGAACGGCGGCCATTTTGTCTGTCAATTTTGGGGCGATTTTCACAAAATTCGAACTCAGCTATCCTTAGCGTGTAACGGTGATATAATAATATGTTTTTTTAAATCGGATAAAAAGCTAAACGCGATTTTTTGTACAATCAGGGGCCATAATTCAGGAAATTACAATTCGATATGAGCAAATATGGAAAGGAACCGAGATCTTTGGGTTATAAACTTACATTTCAAGTTTCAAAAAAATCGGATAAAAATTGTGACCTCTATAGGGTCCACAACCTTGAAATACCATATTTTTACACTATTTATAAACGAGTGGCGGCCATTTTGTCAGTCAATTTTTGGCCGATTTTCACGAAATTCGAACTCAGCCGCCCATAGGGTGTAACAGTGATATAAAAATATGTTTTTTTAAATCGGATAAACATTATGACCTCTATAGGGTCCACAAGCTAAAAATGTGATTTTTCGTACAATCAGGGGCCATAATTCAGGAAGTTACAGTCCGATATGCTCAAATATCGAAAGGAACCAAGATCTTTGGGTTATAAACTTACATTTCAAGTTTCAACAAAATCGGAAAAAAATTGTGACCTCTATAGGGTCCACAACCTTGATATATCATATTTTTACGCTATTTGAGAACGAACGGCGGCCATTTTGTCTGTCAATTTTGGGCCGATTTTCACAAAATTCGAACTCAGCTATCCTTAGCGTGTAACGGTGATATAATAATATGTTTTTTTAAATCGGATAAAAAGCTAAACACGATTTTTCGTACAATCAGGGGCCATAATTCAGCAAGTTACAGTCCGATATGCGCGAATATCGAAAGGAAC